TTTCTTTCTTTCTTTTTTCTTTCTTCACTTTTACCTCCTTTACATTTTTTCTTTCGTTTGCTTTCCAACCTATATAAAACAAGATCTCGCCATCTGATATAACTCGCATGCTGCAGACGATTTTAATCTGGTTTTGTAGTGTTACAAAAAGCTGAACCATATATGTATATATATTTTTAGAGTAAAATGGTTAGATATGAAAAACAACTAATAAAAAGAATCAATAAAACCAAATCAATTGAAATATTTCGTGGTTTCAAACTACTTACGTTAAATATTTTATTCCTGACAAAGTTAACTTTGTATATGAGAATAAATATAGGATATATATTTGTACTGCGGTAATAATTTTCCTAATTGAGCTCAACTGATCTATATCAAGCAACTTCTACAGCTGCTAATTATAAGACTTAGAAAAAAATTCTGAGTCTTGAACGAAATTTGAAAGTTAACTATGGTGATTTCGAAATTTGTAATCCTTAAAAAGAGAATAAAATAACAAAAACGAAAAAAAATCCTCCATGTCTGTATACACCTATTTCAAAAAACGTTGTCATCGCCAAAGGCCATTCCGACATGGAAATGGTTTCGTATGAATACAAAGGCATCGAATCAGTTTTAACACTAAGGTCCATGTTATTGACATGAATGAGAAGCTGAAACACAAGTAATTCCAGCTATTCTTGGATCTTGGAAAGACCTATCGACTATCGCTTTGCGCCTATTACTTATTGCCTAACGCCTTTGGCGATGACAACGTTTTTTGAAATAGATGTATACTAACAAAAGATCGACACTTTGAAATACAACTAAGATGGCGGCTATGAAAACTCTACTGACTGAAACATATATCTCAATCTTCTTTCTCGTACATCAAAACTAATTGATGGAAGAAATAATCGGTGAAATAAAAATGATGAATTTTCTTCTTATTTTTCAGTATATTGTACTATAATCTAGTCAAAATATACACAAAAATGCATTAATTTTTTAAGATAAATGAGGTTACTTTTAACTCAACATTAACTGAAAAAGACCTTGGAGCCCTCCAAGCAATATATCTGTCAATTTATCCGTACAAACGACTTTCATGACTTCCGCACACAAAAAAGGTAATTAGAAAATATATTTATGGGTCATTTTTCTGCAAATGTAAACGAAACAGTGTTTTCCACCTGCTCGAGAGTGGAGAGTTCTCGATTCAAAGAGGTTCAAGTTCTGAACTGACATAAATGATTTGAATGTGATTGGTTATGAAGTCTTTAGGCTCTTTTCATTGCTTCGTGAATGTTCCAGATAATATGCAGAGACAATTTTTCTATAGTTTGACAAATACAAGTGATTGCATTTTTGGGAAACAATCAACGCACTACTTAGGCAAGCAACCACATATTTTTTCAATAACTTCAGAATTAGGATTTGAAATTGCGAAACGAAAATAAGGACGTATGTGAAACGATATATTCGAACGCACGGACAAGGTTCTAGGACTGTCGTACCCACAATGAAGTTGTCGTCACAAAAGCTTAAGACACTCTACTTGCTTATGGCCTAAAAACTTAGTATATTCTTATTTTCTTATTTTTCTTATTCGCAAAATCTAATCGTGACTTTGAACTAATAAAAGAAATACCAGCGGGGAGGCGTTTAGCAGATTATTTCCTCGTACGAATTGGTAAATTTTCTAATGACGATTACCAGTCAGCTACCTCGTTTATTTGTCCACATTCCTTTTGTCCATTTTCCTCCACTATTTTTGAAAATTGAGTCTTATTATTTATTAAATTTCTCAAATATTAAATTCTTTCTTGTGTAATTTCTACAGAAAAAGTTATCTTCGTCGACCTATCAACCAATTCACAGCCATCGTCTATCCAGTGGTTAGGGGCGAGACAAGTTTCGCGCGCCAGATTTCACTAGCTGTTCATGATCGAGTTTCAATAAGGTATTAGGTAAGTAAAGTACGTCACATAATGTACAACAGAGGTACTGGGTTATCAGTATGATCGTTTCAATTTCCTTTCCTTTCCTTTCCTTTCCTTTCCTTTCCTTTCCTTTCCTTTCCTTTCCTTTCCTTTCCTTTCATTCACGACGGTCGAACCTCTCTACTACGGGCGCCCACTGAGATGTAACCGTGGCTTTTAAGGGGAGTTTTAGAGTAAAAGAAGCTTTGCTCGTGTGTGGTGTCAGTATAACGTGGGTGTCAGAGTCAAAGATACTTGAGCCGTCAGTTCAAGCTAGTGCTTTAGATTTTTGTTTTTTGTTAATCCTCGATTTTTGCTAGCATTTTCTTATGATTTCTTGTTATAAAATTCGGACGGACGGACGGACGGACGGACGGACGGATAGATGAATGGATGGATGGATGAATAAAAGAATGGAATAACAGAGGAACGGATAGATGAAAGAAAACATGTTTTAGTTAGTTATTCAAAAGTATCTGTTATCTAAATGGATTACTCCAGTCACTGTTCATTATTTTCACAACTTTTTACCGAGCCGTATTGTCCGAACTTAAAGCAGCTGCCCACCAAAACAAAAAGGAATTTAATTAAATCACTAACTAAGAAAAGATGGTTTAGCTTCATTTCTGAACGGCCTTTTCAATCAACGCCTACAATTTCCTATGTTTAGAAAATGGGTTTTATTCCACAAAAATATACGTGTCGAGACAAGCGATAAAATACAAAAAGGCCGCTGAATGTTATCACATTTACTTATGGTACGCTATGCAAAACTTAAAGTAACTCACATCTTGATATCAGAATTGTATTCATCTTCAATACCATATTTATATCACAGGACAATCTGACCTATTACTAGAAAATTCCATTGCTGGATTGAAATCATTGAAAAGTGCTGGAAATAACATGAGTTAAAGTCAAGTTTCCAACCTTTTGGATACTAAATTTCATCGTTTAGAAGTACAGTGACTTCCGTTTGGTGTGGTGTGGAAATACCATTAGAAGTCACCAAGATCCCTTTATAGTATAACTCAAAAAAGTAATTGTATGTGTGAAAATAAATACATTCATATATTTTCCGTCGATTGAAGTGATCAATTACTCAGTCTCCCGAGATAGAGATAAAGGTTCATGTTTGAGTTTTCGAAGCCAGATTGAATAGGAATTTAGTAGTTGGTCTATTTAGCAGGAGGAAAACAGGAGAACTGATAGAAAAACCCTCGAAGCTCAGGAGAGACCCAACCAACAAACCCTACTCGCATACGACACTGAGCCTGGTGAGACTCAAACCTGGGTCACATCGAGAGGGGCGCATCACTAACATCGTTCACCACTCGTGCTTTGAACATCGACCAGGTGATGAAATGCCTGAGTCAACATTCAAATTTAATATTTGCAAAGTGAGTTTCTGCGGAAATAACATCTTTGTCGTTGAGTCGAAAGAGAATCTTCGCTGGACAATCTTTCTGTCAACTTGTTGCGCAGATGAGACTACCTGTACAAGTAACACACCGCGATCTTGAATGGATCCTTCTCAAACGTATGGTGGATGCCAGACTAACATGAAAATGTAAAAGAAAACACACTTTTTCTTGATGGAATTTGTGGCATTTCTTTTGTATTTTGATGATAGCCTTGCAACCAAGAATATTTATAGAAGCGGGGTCCATTGCCGCAATCGTTACGAGAAGCTAATAGAATCAATTTCTACATTTCATAACGATTGTGGCAACTCTTGTGACTTTTCATTTAGCGTAGCATAATCTCCGGCAACTCGTTTTGCTACTGAAGATATGCCTTGACAGTCTTTTGCGCAAGGCGTAAATCCATCAAACTCAATGTTTGCAAATGTTTGATGAAATATTGTGTAACATTATCCGTGTAACTTCAACGCACTTTTATATTGCGGCAAAAAGCAACATCATCATCGCCATTATCATCAACGAACAACCAACATCATGGTCATCACGATTCGTGCCATCATCACCACTCACCAACAACATCAACAAAAGTAGCAACAACTACATCGCTTGCGTTTAAGTGTTCATGCAACGCACTTTTTCACGTTATCGCGGCGCGAAGAAACATTATCATCAACGATACAACCAACATCATGGTCATCACAATCCAAATGATCATCACCATTATCATCACCAACGACATCAACAAAAGTTGCACGTTACGTCTCTGCCTTTCTAATGTATTCCTTCCTCACTGAGTTGCGGGAGTTCTTTCGTCCTGTGGCAACCTTGTTGCAACTAGGTGTATTTATTTATTTATTTATTTATTTATTTATTTATTTATTTATTTATKTATGTATGTATTTATTTATTTATTTATTTATTTACTTTTATATAGGATATTTAAATTTAATCATGTTATTATTATATTAAGTATTAAGGGTAGGGGTAGACCTCATAAATTTTAATCATATTTTAGATTGTATTGTAGTAGATAGGAGGTCCACATCAGCGAAAGCAGCCATACCTTAACCTTGTTAAAAATAAAGTATGTCATGTCAACAATGTGACCCCGGCGCGCGTTTGATTTCCCGGCCTCAGGCTAGGTGTCGTACACAGGTAGAGTTCTTTGTTGGTTCTCTCCTGTGCTTCGAGGGTTTTTCTCCGGGTTTTCCTATTTTTCCTCCCTCCACAAAAATAAACTTCTAATTTCTAATGGGTTGCAAAAGTGTTAGGCTTCCCGTCCACCACGGAGTAGTAAATCCGATTTTGAAGACAATACAGCATACCAATGACCAACTCGGCACTTTCCCAACTATTCAGCGAAAAGCATAAAAATATTGAAAAACCACAATATTGAAGTATCGCCGGGTAAAAACGCTGTTGAAAAGGTTTCAAAAGTTTTTTTTTTTTTTACATACAAAATTACAAGTTTTAAATTAGACATTCAGTAAAAAAAAAAACAGTGGAAAGGTTTATTACAACCCAAAAGGGTTAATTAGAAGATTCTGAACCTTATTTAGTAATTAAATGATATGACTATTAAGTTATATAAAATAGAAACATATGTACATATGTGCTCAAAATAACAGTTTTAATACAGATCTATATTTACAAGTTATTGAAGTACATGTTTACAAAGATATGAGGTATGTTTTAAAACGTTTTCTATAACTTTTAAGTGTAGGTTTATTTTTCATTTCAAGAGGTACTTATTCCGACTATTCCAGGTTTCGGCTGCCGCGTATTTTACGCCAAACTTACCATAATTTAGATTTTAACGAGGCAAATAAAAAAATTTATTCGCTTTAGAGCGGGTATTATAAGTATGAATTAAATTTATATCCTTTAGGTAATTAGCGAAAGTGTATGTAGACTTATACAAAGGTAACAAGAAAAGCAGGCCAAAAAAGTAATTCTTGCAGCATTTCATATCGAGAAAATAAGCATTATTCAATTGTGATCGTATGTAAATACAACATTTCAATCTTTTTTTTTTCTTTTATCTTTTACAATAATCAATGTGTTTTCCATTAGTGATGTCTCTTCCGGTGTAGTTCGATCCTCCCGATTTTAGTATCTAGGTTCTACCCTGCGTTGCTAAGAACAGTATTTTAACGCCTCCATTCGTTCATTATTGGATTACAGACACATTAGATGATAGTTAATATTGCAATAATGATATTAAAATTTTATTTCAAAATTACTTATTAATTGCTATTTTCTTCCTAACGTCTGTAGCTTTCTCTTATTCAATTTCAAAATTCCAATTCCAATCTCAAATTCAATTCAAAAGAAACTTTCCGGGGTTATCCAGACAAGACGTAAAGGAAAGAAAGACATGGAGATTACAGTAGCGGAAATAAAGAGAAAAGTTTTAAGAAACTCAATAGAGAAGATATGATGATTGTTTTCTTTTTTTTTTTTTTTTTTTTTGACAGCATTTCATAGATGCTTTTCACCACATTGACTGACGTCACATCCGATCTCCAACCAACACAGAAAATTACAGAATAGCTAGATTAGAAATATCCTTTACTATCTATATTCAGCTAGTTGCCTCTGGAGTCAGTGAGACATTGATTGAATAAGCGAATTTCAACGGCCTCTTTTTCCAAAGACATTACTTAGAAAATATTTTTGAAGTGTTTGGTCCAATAGCTGGATATCAAATGACAATGGCGAAAATACTTAGGGAATTGCCTAGTGATCTGTGACGTCTAGGTCTGCGAATATCTTGACTCAGTAAGTTCAAATATCCTTGATCATGACTGAACTGAGTTTCTGCGTGACTCACACGCCAAGAATTATTCAATTATCCATCGTACTCACCAGAACATGTTAACAATCAGCAATATTACATTTACTGAGTTGACAGCGTTGTGGTAAACCGTAGTCAACCGAAAAAATATTATAGACACCTTCAATGTTTATTTTACAGATCAAGTTTGAAAGATTCAAGTCTGGTAAACCGTCTCTACAAAGCTAATAAGAATATGTCCTTCTGAATTTGAAAGTAATGAAGCTCAAGTTCTCGATATTGTGGTGTTGTTTTTTCACTGTTATTCTCGTCGCAAAAAAACAAGAAGCTAAATCTGGTAAGTAATTTTTCCTTACGTTTTAATTGCCAGCAAAACAAATTATGTCTTACTCTATTCATTCATGCTTAAGTAAGTACCAAAAGGTTAAAGCAAAGTCGTGAAAAGCTCATAAAACTCATACCAAAATCACGCCACATTGACTTATGAAGAAAAATATTAATCTAACTAAAAATGCAAGAGATTCCAATCTTAGAAACCTCAGTTTTGTTGTCTTTACAGTTTTGTTATATAGCGCGGAAAAAGTCTTCCTATTCGCAATTGAAAGCCCTGAATCTCCCACTGACATTAATTATACCAAGTGAATGCATTGAACTCTGTATTGTTCACAGAGAACATTCAGATTATTATTTCATCTACGTACTGCAAAACCCTTGATAATATAATTTACAGTTGAATCGGCAATTTCCTTCCACTTACAAAGGTCCCAAAGGGATGCCTCTAACTAAGGGGTTATGGAACACTATTAAACTTAAAGCCAAACAAAATTTTATGCCTCTATGAAGTTGTAAACAAATTAATGATGGTAATTGAAGGGTCCTTAACAGCAGTGTAGATATATTATTCGCGAGAGTCGAATCTTGAAGATTGCTATCAATAGAGTTGTCCAAGCGTTCACATTCCGTTCGTCGTGACTTCGAATAAATGTTACAATTCCAACTGACGAGGTCAATTAGTAAACTTTGGGTTGACCTAGCTAAAGACTATTCGTTACTTTTCAAAACTCTGAATTCTGAGACCGAGGTTCCGTTTTTTTCTAGCTAACATAAACTTCTCTATTTCATTTTAATTTAAGATCAAGATACAGATCGGCTATAATGCTCAAGGTTTAAGAAAGGATTCTTTCTTAATCTTTAAATTGACTTGACCTTTTTAGCGCTCCCGTTTGGAAAATCATTTTGTACGACTCACGCGTGGACAAAATAAAGCTCTTTTCCGACGACTTAATGAAGGATTATCTGTTCTTTGTGTTGTTGA